TGTCAAGTATCTTGGCCAAACAGCGACCGTTGGGCTGCAATACTCGGACGGCGGCACAAAGGCGCCAAAAGGGCGCGGATGGTGTTGAACCCGGGCGTTTGTTCCTCACCGCCTACTCGGATGCTTCATATGCATCAGAACCAGAGGACATGACAAAGTGTGGGAGGCTTCATATGCTGTGTTGGTGGAGGCCCAATTGCTTGGGAGAGCAAGAAGCAGGTTGACCAAGCTTTGAGCTCGGTGGAGTCCGAATACATGGCACTCTTCCGTGCCGTACGGGAGATTGTGTGGCAGCGGCGTTTGTTGGCTGAATTGGGGGAGGAGCAGCAAGGACCTACCCCACTGTATTGTGACAGCCAGGGTGCCATTGCTCTTGCTAAGAACCCTGTGTTGCATGGACTCACGAAGCACATGAGGGTGAAGTGGCATTGGACGAGGAGCATGGTAACCGCGGGTGAAGTTGAGTTGCGCTACGTGAAGACCACGGGGCAGCCGGCTGACATGATGACCAAGAGGCTGGTGGAGCAGCAGCATTGGAAGTGTTGCAAGCTGGCTGGGATGGCTCTGAACTGACAGAGCAACACATCCTAAGGCCAACAATCCGAGGGGGAGTTTGTTGGTGCAACCCTATGGTTTGCACTCGGCTTGTTGTCCGTGTGCGTGCATGTGTGTGTGTCTATGGAATGGTATGAGGGCATGGGATAATATATATTTAATGCTTATAATTGTGTGTGAATGTTGAGTCATGATGTCGAGTGTATGTGTCGAGTCAATAGCGAGTTATCGCTAGACGCGTGTTACGCGGTCGTTTGTGTCTCGCGCGCGGTTTCTATTTTGTCGTGCGCGGTTTCTCTTTTGTCCTGTGTCGAACGTTCGGTGTGTCGCAGGTGTGTGCAGCAGACCCATCAAGAACTCAAGGATGAGTTTGTGATGAAGATCCGAGCCTTGGTGGCAATCCACAAGTGATTTCAAAGCTCGCCAAAAAGGGTACAACCTCAAGATATTGAAGATAGTTACATTACTTTGTGTAGTGTAACATTTCACTTGGTGTAGGCCCTAGTGAAGGGTAGTTTCGAGACCCTTCGTGGTTGGGGACAGTGTGGCACTGTTCCACATCACTGTACCTCGGCTCTTGGGGTTTGTAGGAGCTGGGAGTCATTCCCAACTCGTAACTCTTCCTAACCTTTCCTATCTTGTGTTCTAAGACCATAGTGGCTGCCATAGTGCTGTTCGTTCAAACCAACCCTGTGTCGTCAATACTTGGTCAAATCGTGCGATCTAAATTGCCTATTGTAGGCGACAATACGGCGCTCCAGATCCAAGTTGAATCAAGTCATTTGAAGCTGTGACCAAAACGCTATGAACGTTTGAAGCCGCTGTGCAGAAATCCGACTGTGCACTCTATCTTTCGTTTTAGGCACATTGGAGCCTACTGTGACTATAACATCCATCACCCCGCCCCATTCTCCCGCTTTCCATCACCCCGCCCCATTCTCCCTCTTTCCATCACCACGCCCCATTCTTCCGCATTCCATCACCCCGCCCCATTCTCCCACTTTCCATCACCCCGCTCCATTCTCCCGCTTTCCATCACCCCGCCCAATTCTCCCTCTTTCCATCACCCCTCCCCATTCTCCCTCTTTCCATCACCCCACCGCATTCACCCTCTTTCTATCACCCCGCCCCATTCTCCCTCTTTCCGTCACCCCGCCCCATTCCCCCTCTTTCCATCACCCCGCCCCATTCTCCCTGTTTCCATCAACCCGCCCCATTCTCCCTGTTTCCATCACCCCGCCCCATTCTCCCTGTTTCCATCACCCCGCCCCATTCTCCCTGTTTCCATCACCCCACCCCATTCTCCCCCTTTCCATTACCCCGCCCCATTCTCCCGCTCTCAATCACCCCGTCCCATTCTCCCGTTTTCCATCACCCCTCCCCATTCTCCCTCTTTCCATCACCCCATCCCATTCTCCCTTTTTCCATCACCCCCCCCCATTCTCCCGCTTTCTATCACCCCGCCCCATTCTCCCGCTTTCCATCACCCCGCTCCATTCTCCCTCTTTCCATCACCCCTCCCCATTCTCCCTCTTTCCATCAGCCCGCCCCGTTCTCCCGCTTTCCATCACCCCGCCCCATTCTCCCTCATTCCATCACCCCGCCCCATTCTCCCGCCTTCCATCACCCCGCCCCATTCTCCCTCTTTCCACCACCCCGCCCCATTCTCCCTGTTTCCATCACCCCGCCCCATTCTCCCGTTTTCCATCACCCCGGCCCAATCTCCCTCTTTCCATCACCCCGCCCCATTCTCCCACTTTCCATCACCCCGCCCCATTCTCCCGCCTTCCATCACCCCGCCCCATTCTCCATCCTTCCATCACCCCGCCCCATTCTCCCTCTTTCCATCACCCCGCCCCATTCTCCCTCTTTACCTCGCCCCGTCCAATTCTCCCGCTTCCTATCACCCCGCCCCATTCTCCCGCTTTCCATCACCCCGCCCCATTCTCCCGCTTTCCCTCACCCCGCCCCATTTTCCCTCTTTCCATCACCCCGCCCCATTCTCCCGCTTTCCATCACCCCGCCCCATTCTCCCGCTTTCCATCACCCCGCTCCATTCTCCCACTTTCCATCACCCTGCCCAATTCTCCCTCTTTCCATCACCCCTCCCCATTCTCCCTCTTTCCATCACCCCGCCCCATTCTCCCTCTTTCCATCACCCCGCCCCATCCTCCCTCTTTCCATCACCCCGCACCATTCTCCCTCTTTCCATCACCCTGCCCCATTCTACTGCTTTCCAGCACCCCGTCCCATTCTCCCGCTTTCCATCACCCCGCTCCATTCTCCCGCTTTCCATCACCCCGCCCAATTTTCCCTCTTTCCATCACCCCGTCCCATTCTCCCTCTTTCCATCACCCCGCCCCATTCTCCCCCAATCCATCACCCCACCCCATTTTCACTCTTTCCATCACCTCGTCCCATTCTCCCGCTTTCCATCACCCCGCCCAATACTCCCTCTTTCCATCACCCCGCCCAATTCTCCCTCTTTCCATCACCCCTCCCCATTCTCCCTCTTTCCATCACCCCGCCCCATTCACCCTCTTTCCATCACCCCGCCCCATTCTCCCTCTTTCCATCACCCCGCCCAATTCTCCCTCTTTCCATCACCCCTCCCAATTCTCCCTCTTTCCATCACCCCGCCCCATTCACCCTCTTTCCATCACCCCGCCCCATTCTCCCTCTTTCCATCGCCCCGCCCCATTCCCCCTCTTTCCATCACCCCGCCCCATTCTCCCTGTTTCCATCACCCCGCCCCATTCTCCCTGTTTCCATCACCCCGCCCCATTCTCCCGCTTTCCATCACCCCGCCCCATTCTCCCTCTTTTCATCACCCCGCCCCATTCTCCCGCTCTCAATCACCCTGCCCCGTTCTCCCGTTTTCCATCACCCCTCCCCATTCTCCCTCTTTCCATCACCCCGCCCTATTCTCCCTCTTCCATCACCCCGCCCCATTCTCCCGCTTTCCATCACCTCGCCCCATTCTCCCGCTTTCTATCACCCCGCTCCATTCTCCCGCTTTCCATCACCCCGCCCAATTCTCCCTCTTTCCATCACCCCTCTCCATTCTCCCTCTTTCCATCACCCCGCCCCATTCTCCCGCTTTCCATCACCTTGCCCCATTCTCCCGCTTTCCATCACCCCGCCCCATTCTCCCTCTTTCCATCACCCCACCCCATTCTCTCGCTTTCCATCACCCCGCCCCATTCTCCCTCTTTCCATCACCCCGCCCCATTCTCCCGCTTTCCATCACCCCGCCCCATTCTCCCTCTTTCCATCACCACGCCCCATTCTTCCGCATTCCATCACCCCGCCCCATTCTCCCGCTTTCTATCACCCCGCTCCATTCTCCCACTTTCCATCACCCCGCCCAATTCTCCCTTTTTTTATCACCCCTCCCCATTCTCCCTCTTTCCATCACCCCACCCCATTCACCCTCTTTCTATAACCCCGCCCCATTCTCCCTCTTTCCGTCACCCCGCCCCATTCCCCCTCTTTCCATCACCCCGCCCCATTCACCCTGTTTCCATCACCCCGCCCCATTCTCCCTGTTTCCATCACCCCGCCCCATTCTCCCGCTTTCCATCACCCGGCCCCGTTCTCCCGCTTTCCTCCACCCCGCCCCATTCTCCCGCTTTCCATCACCCCGCCCCATTCTCCCTCTTTCAATCACCCCGCCCAATTCTCCCTCTTTCCATCACCCCGCCCCATTCTCCCTCTATCCATCACCCCACCCAGTTCTTCTCTTTCCATCACCCCGCCCCATTCTCCCGCTTTCCATCACCCCGCTCCATTCTCCCGCTTTCCATCACCCCGCCCAATTCTCCCTCTTCCCATTACCCCTCCCCATTCTCCCTCTTTCCATCACCCCGCCCCATTCTCCCGCTTTCCATCACCCCGCCCCATTCTCCCTCTTTCCATCACCCCGCCCCATTCTCCCGCTTTCCATCACCCCGCCCCATTCTCCCTCTTTCCATCACCCCGCCCCATTCTCCCTCTTTCCATCGACCCGCCCCATTCTCCCGCCTTCCATCAACCCGCCCCATTCTCCCTCTTTCCATCACCCCGCTCCATTCTCCCGCTTTCCATCACCCCGCTTCATTCTCCCGCTTTCCATCACCCCGCTCCATTCTCCCGCTTTCCATCACCCCGCCCCATTCTCCCGCTTTCCATCACCCCGCCCCATTCTCCCTCTTTCCATCACCCCGCCCCGTTCTCCCGCTTTCCATCACCCCGCCCCATTCTCCCTCTTTCCATCACCCCGCCCCATTCTCCCGCTTTCCATCACCCCGCTCCATTCTCCCGCTTTCCATCACCCCGCCCAATTCTCCCTCTTTCCATCACCCCTCCCTATTCTCCCTCTTTCCATCACCCCGCCCCATTCTCCCGCTTTCCATCACCCCGCCCCATTCTCCCGCTTTCCATCACCCCGCCCCATTCTCCCGCTTTCCATCACCCCGCTCCATTCTCCCTGTTTCCATCACCCCGCCCCCTTCTCCCGCTTTCCATCACCCCACCCCATTCTCCCCCTTTCCATCACCCCGCCCCATTCTCCCGCTCTCAATCACCCCGCCCCATTTTCCCGTTTTCCATCACCCCTCCCCATTCTCCCTCTTTCCATCACCCTACCCCTCTTTCCATCACCCTGCCCCATTCTCCCGCTTTCTATCACCCCGCCCCATTCTCCCGCTTTCCATCATCCCGCTCCATTCTCCCCCTTTCCATCACCCCGCCCAATTCTCCCTCTTTCCATCACCCCTCCCCATTCTCCCTCTTTCCATCACCCGCCCGCTTTCCATCACCCTGCCCCATTCTCCCTCTTTCCATCACCCCGCCCCATTCTCCCGCTTTCCATCACCCCGCCCCATTCTCCCTCTTTCCACCACCCCGCCCCTTTCTCCCTGTTTCCATTACCCCGCCCCATTCTCCCGTTTTCCATCACCCCACCCCATTCTCCCTCTTTCCATCACCCCACCCCATTCTCCCTCTTTCCATCACCCCGCCCCATTCTCCCTCTTTCCATCACCCCGCCCCATTCTCTCGCTTTCCATCACCCCGCCCCATTCTCCCTCTTTCCATCACCCCACCTTGTTCTCCCTCTTTCCATCACCCCGCCCCATTCTCCCGCTTTCCATTACCGCGCCCCACTCTCCATCTTTCCATCATCCCGCCCCATTCTCCCTTCTTCCATCACCCAGCCCCATTCTCCCTCTTTACATCACCCCGCCCCATTCTCCCGCTTTCTACCACACCGCCCCATTCTCCCGCTTTCCATCACCCCGCCCCATTCTCCCGCTTTCCATCACCCCTCCCCATTCTCTCTGTTTCCATCACCCCGCCACGTTCTCCCGCTTTCCATCACCCCACCCCATTCTCCCCCTTTCCATCACCCCGCCCCATTCTCCCGCTCTCAATCACCCCGCCCCATTCTCCCGTATTCCATCACCCCTCCCCATTCTCCCTCTTTCCATCACCCCGCCCCATTCTCCCTCTTTCCATCACCCTGCCCCATTCTCCCGCTTTCTATCACCCCGCCCCATTCTCCCGCTTTCCATCATCCCGCTCCATTCTCCCCCTTTCCATCACCCCGCCCAATTCTCCCTCTTTCCATCACCCCTCCCCATTCTCCCTCTTTCCATCACCCCGCCCCATTCTCCCGCTTTCCATCACCCCGCCCCATTCTCCCGCTTTCCATCACCCCGCCCCATTCTCCCGCTTTCCATCACCCCGCCACGTTCTCCCGCTTTCCATCACCCCACCCCATTCTCCCCCTTTCCATCACCCCGCCCCATTCTCCCGCTCTCAATCACCCCGCCCCATTCTCCCGTTTTCCATCACCCCTCCCCATTCTCCCTCTTTCCATCACCCCGCCCCATTCTCCCTCTTTCCATCACCCTGCCCCATTCTCCCGCTTTCTATCACCCCGCCCCATTCTCCCGCTTTCCATCATCCCGCTCCATTCTCCCCCTTTCCATCACCCCGCCCAATTCTCCCTCTTTCCATCACCCCTCCCCATTCTCCCTCTTTCCATCACCCCGCCCCATTCTCCCCCTTTCCATCACCCCGCCCAATTCTCCCTCTTTCCATCACCCCTCCCCATTCTCCCTCTTTCCATCACCCCGCCCCATTCTCCCGCTTTCCATCACCCCGCCCCATTCTCCCGCTTTCCATCACCCCGCCCCATTCTCCCTCTTTCCACCACCCCGCCCGTTTCTCCCTGTTTCCATCACCCCGCCCCATTCTCCCGTTTTCCATCACCCCACCCCATTCTCCCTCTTTCCATCACCCCGCCCCGTTCTCCCTCTTTCCATCACCCCGCCCCATTCTCACTCTTTCCATCACCCCGCCCCATTCTCTCGCTTTCCATCACCCCGCCCCATTCTCCCTCTTTGCATCACCCCGCCCCATTCTCCCTCTTTCCATCACCCCGTCCCATTCTCCCGCTTTCCATTACCGCGCCCTACTCTCCATCTTTCCATCACCCCGCCCCATTCTCGCGCCTTCCATCACCCAGCCCCATTCTCCCTCTTTACATCACCCCGCCCCATTCTCCCGCTTTCTATCATCCCGCTCCATTCTCCCGCTTTCCATCACCCCGCCCCATTCTCCCTCTTTCCATCACCCCGCCCCATTCTCCCGCTTTCCATCACCCCGCCCCATTTTCCCTCTTTCCATCACCCCGCCCCATTTCCCGCGTTCCATCACCCCGCCCCATTCTCCCTCTTTCTATCACCCCTCCCCATTCTCCCGCTTTCCATCACCCCGCCAAATTCTCCCTCTTTCTTTCACCCCTCCCCATTCTCCCTTTTTCCATCACCCCGCCGCTTCTTCCCGCTTTCCATCACCCCGCCCCATTCTCCCTCTTTCCATCACCCCGCCCCATTCTCCCGCTTTCCATGACCCCGCCCCATTCTCCCGCTTTCCATCACCCCGCCCCATTCTCCCGCTTTCCATCACCCCGCCCCATTCTCCCTCATTCTATCACCCCTCCCCATTCTCCCGCTTTCCATCACCCCGCCCAATTCTCCCTCTTTCTATCACCCCTCCCCATTCTCCCTTTTTCCATCACCCCGCCGCTTCTTCCCGCTTTCCATCACCCCGCCGCTTCTTCCCGCTTTCCATCACCCCGCCCCATTTTCCCTCTTTCCATCACCCCGCCCCATTCCTCCGCTTTCCATCACCCCGCCCCGTTTTCCCTCTTTCCATCACCCCGCCCCATTCTCCCGCTTTCCATCACCCCGCCCATTCTCCCTCTTTCTATCACCCCTCCCCATTCTCCCGCTTTCCATCACCCCGCCAAATTCTCCCTCTTTCCATCACCCCTCCCCATTCTCCCTCTTTCCATCACCCCGCCGCTTCTTCCCGCTTTCCATCACTCCGCCGCTTCTTCCCGCTTTCCATCACCCCGCCCCATTTTCCCTCTTTCCATCACCCCGCCCCTTTCTCCCGCTTTCCATCACCCCGCCCCATTCTCCCTCTTTCTATCACCCCTTCCCATTCTCCCGCTTTCCATCACCCCACCCAATTCTCCCTCTTTCTATCACCCCTCCCCATTCTCCCTCTTTCTATCACCCCGCCCCATTCTCCTGCTTTCCATCACCCCGCCCCATTTTCCCTCTTTCCATCACCCCGTCCCGTTCTCCCTCTTTCCATCACCCCGCCACATTCTCCCGCTTTCCATCACCCCTCCCCATTCTCCCTCTTTCCATCACCCCGCCCCATTCTCCCACTTTCCGTCACCCCGCCCCATTCTCCCTCTTTCTATCACCCCTCCCCATTCTCCCGCTTTCCATCACCCCGCCAAATTCTCCCTCTTTCTTTCACCCCTCCCCATTCTCCCTTTTTCCATCACCCCGCCGCTTCTTCCCGCTTTCCATCACCCCGCCCCATTCTCCCTCTTTCCATCACCCCGCCCCATTCTCCCGCTTTCCATGACCCCGCCCCATTCTCCCGCTTTCCATCACCCCGCCCCATTCTCCCGCTTTCCATCACCCCGCCCCATTCTCCCTCTTTCTATCACCCCTCCCCATTCTCCCGCTTTCCATCACCCCGCCCAATTCTCCCTCTTTCTATCACCCCTCCCCATTCTCCCTTTTTCCATCACCCCGCCGCTTCTTCCCGCTTTCCATCACCCCGCCGCTTCTTCCCGCTTTCCATCACCCCGCCCCATTTTCCCTCTTTCCATCACCCCGCCCCATTCCTCCGCTTTCCATCACCCCGCCCCGTTTTCCCTCTTTCCATCACCCCGCCCCATTCTCCCGCTTTCCATCACCCCGCCCATTCTCCCTCTTTCTATCACCCCTCCCCATTCTCCCGCTTTCCATCACCCCGCCAAATTCTCCCTCTTTCTATCACCCCTCCCCATTCTCCCTTTTTCCATCACCCCGCCGCTTCTTCCCGCTTTCCATCACTCCGCCGCTTCTTCCCGCTTTCCATCACCCCGCCCCATTTTCCCTCTTTCCATCACCCCGCCCCTTTCTCCCGCTTTCCATCACCCCGCCCCATTCTCCCTCTTTCTATCACCCCTTCCCATTCTCCCGCTTTCCATCACCCCACCCAATTCTCCCTCTTTCTATCACCCCTCCCCATTCTCCCTCTTTCTATCACCCCGCCCCATTCTCCTGCTTTCCATCACCCCGCCCCATTTTCCCTCTTTCCATCACCCCGTCCCGTTCTCCCTCTTTCCATCACCCCGCCACATTCTCCCGCTTTCCATCACCCCTCCCCATTCTCCCTCTTTCCATCACCCCGCCCCATTCTCCCACTTTCCGTCACCCCGCCCCATTCTCCAGCTTTCCATCACCCCGCTCCATTCTCCCCCTTTCCATCACCCCGCCCAATTCTCCCTCCTTCCATCTCCCCTCCCCATTCTCCCTCTTTCTATCACCCTACCCCATTCTCCCTCTTTCCATCACCCCGCCCCATTCTCCCTCTTTCCATCACCCCGCCCCATTCTCCCTCTTTCCATCGCCCCGCCACATTCTCCCTCTTTCCATCACCCTGCCCTATTCTCCCTGTTTCCATCACCCCGCCCCATTCTCCCTGTTTCCATCACCCCGCCCCATTCTCCCGCTTTCCATCACCCCGCCCCATTCTCCCTGTTCCATCACCCCGCCCCGTTCTCCCGCTTTCCATCACCCCACCCCATTCTCCCCCTTTCCATCACCCCGCCCCATTCTCCCGCTCTCAATCACCCCGCCCCATTCTCCCGTTTTCCATCACCCCTCCCCATTCACCCTCTTTCCATCACCCCGCCCCATTCTCCCTCTTTCCATCACCCTGCCCCATTCTCCCGCTTTCTATCACCCCGCCCCATTCTCCCGCTTTCCATCATCCCGCTCCATTCTCCCCCTTTCCATCACCCCGCCCAATTCTCCCTCTTTCCATCAACCCTCCCCATTCTCCCTCTTTCCATCACCCCGCCTCATTCTCCCGCTTTCCATCACCCCGCCCCATTCTCCCTCTTTCCATCACCCCGCCCCATTCTCCCGCTTTCCATCACCCCGCCCCATTCTCCCTCTTTCCACCACCCCGCCCCTTTCTCCCTGTTTCCATCACCCCGCCCCATTCTCCCGTTTTCCATCACCCCACCTCATTCTCCCTCTTTCCATCACCCCGCCCCATTCTCCCTCTTTCCATCACCCCGCCCCATTTTCCCTCTTTCCATCACCCTGCCCCATTCTCTCGCTTTCCATCACCCCGCCCCATTCTCCCTCTTTCCATCACCCCGCCCTGTTCTCCCTCTTTCCATCACCCCGCCCCATTCTCCCGCTTTCCATCACCCAGCCCCATTCTCCCTCTTTACATCACCCCGCCCCATTCTCCCGCTTTCTATCACCCCGCCCCATTCTCCCGCTTTCCATCACCCCGCCCCATTCTCCCTCTTTCCATCACCCCGCCCCATTCTCCCGCTTTCCATCACCCCGCCCCATTTTCCCGCTTTCCATCACCCCGCCCCATTCTCCCGCTTTCCATCACCCCGCCCCATTCTCCCTCTTTCTATCACCCCTCCCCATTCTCCCTTTTTCCATCACCCCACCCCATTCTCCCTCTTTCCATCACCCCGCTCCATTCTCCCGCTTTCCATCACCCCGCCCCATTCTCCCGCTTTCTATCACCCCGCCCCATTTTCACTCTTTCCATCACCGCGCCACATTCTTCCGCTTTCCATCACCCCGCCCCATTCTCCCGCTTTCCATCACCCCGCCCCATTCTCCCGCTTTCCATCACCCCACCCCATTCTCCAGCTTTCCATCACCCCGCTCCATTCTCCCGCTTTCCATCACCCCGCCCAATTCTCCCTCCTTCCATCACCCCTCCCCGTTCTCCCTCTTTCCATCAACCTGCCCCATTCTCCCTCTTTCCATCACCCCGCCCCATTCTCCCTCTTTCCATCACCCCGCCCCATTCTCCCTCTTTCCATCACCCCGCCACATTCTCCCTCTTTCCATCACCCTGCCCTATTCTACCTGTTTCCATCACCCCGCCCCATTCTCCCTGTTTCCATCACCCCGCCCCATTCTCCCGCTTTCCATCACCCCGCCCCATTCTCCCTGTTTCCATCACCCAGCCCCGTTCTCCCGCTTTCCATCACCCCCCCCCATTCTCCCCCTTTCCATCACCCCGCCCCATTCTCCCTCTTTCTATCACCCCTTCCCATTCTCCCGCTTTCCATCACCCCACCCAATTCTCCCTCTTTCTATCACCCCTCCCCATTCTCCCTCTTTCTATCACCCCGCCCCATTCTCCTGCTTTCCATCACCCCGCCCCATTTTCCCTCTTTCCATCACCCCGTCCCGTTCTCCCTCTTTCCATCACCCCGCCACATTCTCCCGCTTTCCATCACCCCTCCCCATTCTCCCTCTTTCCATCACCCCGCCCCATTCTCCCACTTTCCGTCACCCCGCCCCATTCTCCAGCTTTCCATCACCCCGCTCCATTCTCCCCCTTTCCATCACCCCGCCCAATTCTCCCTCCTTCCATCACCCCTCCCCATTCTCCCTCTTTCTATCACCCTACCCCATTCTCCCTCTTTCCATCACCCCGCCCCATTCTCCCTCTTTCCATCACCCCGCCCCATTCTCCCTCTTTCCATCACCCCGCCACATTCTCCCTCTTTCCATCACCCTGCCCTATTCTCCCTGTTTCCATCACCCCGCCCCATTCTCCCTGTTTCCATCACCCCGCCCCATTCTCCCGCTTTCCATCACCCCGCCCCATTCTCCCTGTTCCATCACCCCGCCCCGTTCTCCCGCTTTCCATCACCCCACCCCATTCTCCCCCTTTCCATCACCCCGCCCCATTCTCCCGCTCTCAATCACCCCGCCCCATTCTCCCGTTTTCCATCACCCCTCCCCATTCACCCTCTTTCCATCACCCCGCCCCATTCTCCCTCTTTCCATCACCCTGCCCCATTCTCCCGCTTTCTATCACCCCGCCCCATTCTCCCGCTTTCCATCATCCCGCTCCATTCTCCCCCTTTCCATCACCCCGCCCAATTCTCCCTCTTTCCATCAACCCTCCCCATTCTCCCTCTTTCCATCACCCCGCCTCATTCTCCCGCTTTCCATCACCCCGCCCCATTCTCCCTCTTTCCATCACCCCGCCCCATTCTCCCGCTTTCCATCACCCCGCCCCATTCTCCCTCTTTCCACCACCCCGCCCCTTTCTCCCTGTTTCCATCACCCCGCCCCATTCTCCCGTTTTCCATCACCCCACCCCATTCTCCCTCTTTCCATCACCCCGCCCCATTCTCCCTCTTTCCATCACCCCGCCCCATTTTCCCTCTTTCCATCACCCTGCCCCATTCTCTCGCTTTCCATCACCCCGCCCCATTCTCCCTCTTTCCATCACCCCGCCCTGTTGTCCCTCTTTCCATCACCCCGCCCCATTCTCCCGCTTTCCATCACCCAGCCCCATTCTCCCTCTTTACATCACTCCGCCCCATTCTCCCGCTTAATATCACCCCGCCCCATTCTCCCGCTTTCCATCACCCCGCCCCATTCTCCCTCTTTCCATCACCCCGCCCCATTCTCCCGCTTTCCATCACCCCGCCCCATTTTCCCGCTTTCCATCACCCCGCCCCATTCTCCCGCTTTCCATCACCCCGCCCCATTCTCCCTCTTTCTATCACCCCTCCCCATTCTCCCTTTTTCCATCACTCCGCCCCATTCTCCCTCTTTCCATCACCCCGCTCCATTCTCCCGCTTTCCATCACCCCGCCCCATTCTCCCGCTTTCTATCACCCCGCCCCATTTTCACTCTTTCCATCACAGCGCCACATTCTTCCGCTTTCCATCACCCCGCCCCATTCTCCCGCTTTCCATCACCCCGCCCCATTCCCCCGCTTTCCATCACCCCACCCCATTCTCCAGCTTTCCATCACCCCGCTCCATTCTCCCGCTTTCCATCACCCCGCCCAATTCTCCCTCCTTCCATCACCCCTCCCCATTCTCCCTCTTTCTATCAACCTGCCCCATTCTCCCTCTTTCCATCACCCCGCCCCATTCTCCCTCTTTCCATCACCCCGCCCCATTCTCCCTCTTTCCATCACCCCGCCACATTCTCCCTCTTTCCATCACCCTGCCCTATTCTCCCTGTTTCCATCACCCCGCCCCATTCTCCCTGTTTCCATCACCCCGCCCCATTCTCCCGCTTTCCATCACCCCCCCCCATTCTCCCCCTTTCCATCACCCCGCCCCATTCTCCCGCTCTCAATCACCCCGCCCCATTCTCCCGTTTTCCATCACCCCTCCCCATTCTCCCTCTTTCCATCACCCCGCCCCATTTTCCCTCTTTCCATCACCTTGCCCCATTCTCCCGCTTTCTATCACCCCGCCCCATTCTCCCGCTTTCCATCATCCCGCTCCATTCTCCCCCTTTCCATCACCCCGCCCAATTCTCCCTCTTTCCATCACCCCTCCCCATTCTCCCTCTTTCCATCACCCCGCCCCATTTTCCCCCTTTCCATCACCCCGCCCCATTCTCCCGCTTTCCATCACCCCGCCCCATTCTCCCTCATTCCATCACCCCGCCCCATTCTCCCGCTTTCCATCACCCCGCCCCATACTCCCTCTTTCCACCACCCCGCCCCTTTCTCCCTGTTTCCATCACCCCGCCCCATTCTCCCGTTTTCCATCACCCCACCCCATTCTCCCTCTTTCCATCACCCCGCCCCATTCTCCCTCTTTCCATCACCCCGCCCCATTCTCCCTCTTTCCATCACCCCGCCCCATTCTCTCGCTTTCCATCACCCCGCCCCATTCTCCCTCTTTCCATCACCCCGCCCCATTCTCCCTCTTTCCATCACCCCGCCCCATTCTCCCACTTTCCATTTCCGCGCCCTACTCTCCATCTTTCCATCACCCCGCCCCATTCTCCCGCCTTCCATCACCCAGCCCCATTCTCCCTCTTTACATCACCCCGCCCCATTCTCCCGCTTTCTATCACCCCGCCCCATTCTCCCGCTTTCCATCACCCCGCCCCATTCTCCCTCTTTCCATCACCCCGCCCCATTCTCCCGCTTTCCATCACCCAGCCCCATTCTCCCTCTTTACATCACCCCGCCCCATTCTCCCGCTTTCTATCACCCCGCCCCATTCTCCCGCTTTCCATCACCCCGCCCCATTCTCCCTCTTTCCATCACCCCGCCCCATTCTCCCTCTGTCCATCACCCCGCCCCATTTTCCCTCTTTCCATCACCCTGCCCCATTCTCCCGCTTTCTATCACCCCGCCCCATTCTCCCGCTTTCCATCATCCCGCTCCATTCTCCCCCTTTCCATCACCCCGCCCAATTCTCCCTCTTTCCATCACCCCTCCCCATTCTCCCTCTTTCCATCACCCCGCCCCATTTTCCCCCTTTCCATCACCCCGCCCCATTCTCCCGCTTTCCATCACCCCGCCCCATTCTCCCTCATTCCATCACCCCGCCCCATTCTCCCGCTTTCCATCACCCCGCCCCATTCTCCCTCTTTCCACCACCCCGCCCCTTTCTCCCTGTTTCCATCACCCCACCCCATTCTCCCGTTTTCCATCACCCCACCCCATTCTCCCTCTTTCCATCACCCCGCCCCATTCTCCCTCTTTCCATCACCCCGCCCCATTCTCTCGCTTTCCATCACCCCGCCCCATTCTCCCTCTTTCCATCACCCCGCCCCATTCTCCCTCTTTCCATCACCCCGCCCCATTCTCCCACTTTCCATTTCCGCGCCCTACTCTCCATCTTTCCATCACCCCGCCCCATTTTCCCGCCTTCCATCACCCAGCCCCATTCTCCCTCTTTACATCACCCCGCCCCATTCTCCCGCTTTCTATCACCCCGCCCCATTCTCCCGCTTTCCATCACCCCGCCCCATTCTCCCTCTTTCCATCACCCCGCCCCATTCTCCCGCTTTCCATCACCCAGCCCCATTCTCCCTCTTTACATCACCCCGCCCCATTCTCCCGCTTTCTATCACCCCGCCCCATTCTCCCGCTTTCCATCACCCCGCCCCATTCTCCCTCTTTCCATCACCCCGCCCCATTCTCCCTCTGTCCATCACCCCGCCCCATTTTCCCTCTTTCCATCACCCTGCCCCATTCTCCCGCTTTCTATCACCCCGCCCCATTCTCCCGCTTTCCATCATCCCGCTCCATTCTCCCCCTTTCCATCACCCCGCCCAATTCTCCCTCTTTCCATCACCCCTCCCCATTCTCCCTCTTTCCATCACCCCGCCCCATTCTCCCTCTTTCCATCACCCCGCCCCATTCTCCCCCTTTCCATCACCCTGCCCCATTCTCCCGCTTTCTATCACCCCGCCCCATTCTCCCCCTTTCCATCACCCTGCCCCATTCTCCCGCTTTCTATCACCCCGCCCCATTCTCCCTCTTCCCATCACCCCGCCCCATTCTCCCACTTTCCATGACCCCGCCCCATTCTCCCACTTTCCATCACCCCGCTCCATTCTCCCACTTTCCATCACCCCGCCCAATTCTCCCTCTTTCCATCACCCCTCCCCATTCTCCCTCTTTCCATCACCCCGCCCCATTCTACCTCTTTCCATCACCCACCCCATTCTCCCGCTTGCCATCACCCCGCCCCATTCTCCCGCTTTCCATCACCCCACCCCATTCTCCCTCTTTCCATCACCCTGCCCCATTCTCCCTCTCTCCATCACCCCGCCCCATTCTCCCGCTTTCCATCACCCCGCCCCATTCTCCCGCTTTCAATCACCCCGCCCCATTCTTCCGCTTTCCATCACCCCGCCCCATTCTCCCTGTTTCCATCAGCCCGCCCCATTCTCCCTCTTTCCATCACCCCGCCCCATTCTCCCGCTTTCCATTACCCCGCCCCATTCTCCCGCTTTTTCATCACCCCGCCCTATTCTCCCTCTTTCCATAACCCCGCCCTATTCTCCCTCTTTCCATCACCCCGCCCCATTCTCCCTCTTTCCATCACCCCACCCCATTCTCCCGCTTTCCATCACCCCGCCCCATTCTCCTGCTTTCCATCACCCCGCCTCATTCTCCCGCTTTCCATCACCCCGCCCCATTCTCCCGCTTTCCTTCACCCCCCCGATTCTCCCGCTTTCCATCACCCCGCCCTATTCTCCCTCTTTCCATCACCCTGCCCCATTCTCCCGCTTTCCATCACCCAGCCCCATTCTCCTGCTTTCCATCACCCCGCCCAATTCTCCCGCTTTCCATCACCCCGCCCCATTCTCCCTCTTTCCATCACCCCGCCCAATTCTCCCTCTTTCCATCACCCCTCCCCATTCTCCCGCTCTTTCCATCACCCCGCCACATTCTCCCGCTTTCCATCACCGCGCCTCATTATCCCTCTTTCCATCACCCCGCCCCATTCTCCCGCTTTCCATCACACCGCCCCATTCTCCCTCTATCCATCACCCCGCCCTATTCTCCCTCTTTCCATCACCCTGCCCCATTCTCCCGCTTTCCATCACCCCGCCCCATTCTCCCGCTTTCCCTCACCCCACCCCATTCTCCCGCTTTCCATCACCCTGCCCCATTCTCCCGCTTTCCATCACCCCGACCCATTCTCCCTCTTTTCATCACCCCGCCCCATTCTCCCTCTTTCCATCACCCCGCCCTATTCTCCCTCTTTCCATCACCCCGCCCCATTCTCCCGCTTTCCAACACCCCGCCCCATTCTCCCGCTCCATCACCCCGCCCCATTCTCCCGCTTTCCATCACCCCGCCCCATTCTCCCGCTTTCCATCACCCCGCCCCATTCTCCCGCTTTCCATCACCCCACCCCATTCTCCAGCTTTCCATCACCCCGCTCCATTCTCCCGCTTTCCATCACCCCGCCCAATTCTCCCTCCTTCCATCACCCCTCCCCATTCTCCCTCTTTCCATCAACCTGCCCCATTCTCCCTCTTTCCATCACCCCGCCCCATTCTCCCTCTTTCCATCACCCCGCCCCATTCTCCCTCTTTCCATCACCCTGCCACATTCTCCCTCTTTCCATCACCCTGCCCTATTCTCCCTGTTTCCATCACCCCGCCCCATTCTCCCTGTTTCCATCACCCCTACCCATTCTCCCGCTTTCCATCACCCCGCCCCATTCTCCCTGTTTCCATCACCCCGCCCCGTTCTCCCGCTTTCCATCACCCCACCCCATTCTCCCCCTTTCCATCACCCCGCCCCATTCTCCCGCTCTCAATCACCCCGCCCCATTCTCCCGTTTTCCATCACCCCTCCCCATTCTCCCTCTTTCCATCACCCTGCCCCATTCTCCCGCTTTCTATCACCCCGCCCCATTCTCCCGCTTTCCATCATCCCGCTCCATTCTCCCCCTTTCCATCACCCCGCCCAATTCTCCCTCTTTCCATCACCCCTCCCCATTCTCCCTCTTTCCATCACCCCGCCCCATTTTCCCCCTTTCCATCACCCCGCCCCATTCTCCCGCTTTCCATCACCCCGCCCCATTCTCCCTCATTCCATCACCCCGCCCCATTCTCCCGCTTTCCATCACCCCGCCCCATTCTCCCTCTTTCCACCACCCCGCCCCTTTCTCCCTGTTTCCATCACCCCGCCCCATTCTCCCGTTTTCCATCACCCCACCCCATTCTCCCTCTTTCCATCACCCCGCCCCATTCTCCCTCTTTCCATCACCCTGCCCCATTCTCCCTCTTTCCATCACCCTGCCCCATTCTCTCGCTTTCCATCACCCCGCCCCATTGTCCCTCTTTCCATCACCCCGCCCCATTCTCCCTCTTTCCATCACCCCGCCCCATTCTCCCGCTTTCCATTTCCGCGCCCTACTCTCCATCTTTCCATCACCTCGCCCCATTCTCCCGCCTTCCATCACCCAGCCCCATTCTCCCTCTTTACATCACCCCGCCCCATTCTCCCGCTTTCTATCACCCCGCCCCATTCTCCCGCTTTCCATCACCCTGCCCCATTCTCCCTATTTCCATCACCCCGCCCAATTCTCCCTCTTTCCATCACCCCTCCCCATTCTACCTCTTTCCATCACCCCGCCCCCCACTCTCCCTCTTTCCATCACCCCGCCCCATCCTCCCGCTTTCCATCACCCCGCCCCATTCTCCCTCTTTCCATCACCCCGCCCCATTCTCCCGCTTCCATTACCCCGCCCCATTTTCCCTCTTTCCATCACCCCGCCCCATTCTCCTGCTTTCCATCACCCCGCCCCATTCTCCAGCTTTCCATCACCCCGCTCCATTCTCCCGCTTTCAATCACCCAGCCCAATTCTCCCTCTTTCCATCAACCCCCCCCCATTCGCCCTGCTTTCCATCACCCCGCCCCATTCTCCCGCTTTCCATCACCCCGCCCCATTCTCCCTCTTTCCATCACCCCGCCCCTTTCTCCCTCTTTCCATCACCCCGCCCCATTCTCCCGCTTTCCATCACCCCGCCCCATTCTCCCTCTTTCCATCACCCCGCCCCATTCTCCCGCTTTCCATGACCCCGCCCCATTCTCCCTCTTTCCATCACCCCGCCTCATTCTACCAGTTTCCATCACCCCGCCCCATTCTCCCGCTTTCCATCACCCCGCCCCATTCTCCCTCATTCCATCACCCCGCCCCATTCTCCCGCTTTCCATCACCCCGCCCCATTCTCCCTCTTTCCACCACCCCGCCCCTTTCTCCCTGTTTCCATCACCCCACCCCATTCTCCCGTTTTCCATCACCCCACCCCATTCTCCCTCTTTCCATCACCCCGCCCCATTCTCCCTCTTTCCATCACCCCGCCCCATTCTCCCTCTTTCCATCACCTCGCCCCATTCTCTCGCTTTCCATCACCCCGCCCCATTCTCCCGCTTTCCATCACTCCGCCCCATTTTCCCTCTTTCCATCACCCCGCCCCATTCTCCCGCTTTCCATCACCCCGCCCCATTCTCCCTCTTTCTATCACCCCTCCCCATTCTCCCGCTTTCCATCACCCCGCCCAATTCTCCCTCTTTCTATCACCCCGCCCCATTCTCCCCCTTTCCATCACTCCGCCCCATTCTCCCGCTTTCCATCACCCTGCCCCATTCTCCCGATTTCCATCACCCTTCCCCATTCTCCCGCTTTCCATCACCCCGCCCCATTCTCCCTCTTTCCATCAGCCCGCCCCATTCTCCCTTTTTCCATCACCCCGCCCCATTCTCCTGCTTTCCATCACCCCGCCCCATTCTCCCGCTTTCCATCACCCCGCCCCATTCTCCCTCTTTCCATCACCCTGCCCCATTCTCCCTCTATCCATCACCTCGCCCAATTCTCCCGCTTTCCATCACCCCGTCCCATTCTCCCGCTTTCCATCACCGCGCCCCATTCTCCCTCTTTCCATCACCCCGCCCCATTCTCCCGCTTTCCATCACCTTGTTCCATTCTCCCGCTTTCCATCACCCTGCCCAATTCTCCCTCTTTCCATCACCCCTCCCCATTCTCCCTCTTTCCATCACCCTGCCCCATTCTCCCGCTTTCCATCACCCCGCCCCATTCTCCCTCTTTCCATCAGCCCGCCCCATTCTCCCGCTTTCCATCACCCCGCCCCATTCTCCCTCTTTCCATCACCCCGCCCCATTTTCCCCCTTTCCATCACCCTGCCCCATTCTCCCGCTTTCTATCACCCCGCCCCATTCTCCCTCTTCCCATCACCCCGCCCCATTCTCCCACTTTCCATGACCCCGCCCCATTCTCCCACTTTCCATCACCCCGCTCCATTCTCCCACTTTCCATCACCCCGCCCAATTCTCCCTCTTTCCATCACCCCTCCCCATTCTCCCTCTTTCCATCACCCCGCCCCATTCTACCTCTTTCCATCACCCACCCCATTCTCCCGCTTGCCATCACCCCGCCCCATTCTCCCGCTTTCCATCACCCCACCCCATTCTCCCTCTTTCCATCACCCTGCCCCATTCTCCCTCTCTCCATCACCCCGCCCCATTCTCCCGCTTTCCATCACCCCGCCCCATTCTCCCGCTTTCAATCACCCCGCCCCATTCTTCCGCTTTCCATCACCCCGCCCCATTCTCCCTGTTTCCATCAGCCCGCCCCATTCTCCCTCTTTCCATCACCCCGCCCCATTCTCCCGCTTTCCATTACCCCGCCCCATTCTCCCGCTTTTTCATCACCCCGCCCTATTCTCCCTCTTTCCATAACCCCGCCCTATTCTCCCTCTTTCCATCACCCCGCCCCATTCTCCCTCTTTCCATCACCCCACCCCATTCTCCCGCTTTCCATCACCCCGCCCCGTTCTCCTGCTTTCCATCACCCCGCCTCATTCTCCCGCTTTCCATCACCCCGCCCCATTCTCCCGCTTTCCTTCACCCCCCCCATTCTCCCGCTTTCCATCACCCCGCCCTATTCTCCCTCTTTCCATCACCCTGCCCCATTCTCCCGCTTTCCATCACCCAGCCCCATTCTCCTGCTTTCCATCACCCCGCCCAATTCTCCCGCTTTCCATCACCCCGCCACATTCTCCCGCTTTCCATCACCGCGCCTCATTATCCCTCTTTCCATCACCCCGCCCCATTCTCCCGCTTTCCATCACACCGCCCCATTCTCCCTCTATCCATCACCCCGCCCTATTCTCCCTCTTTCCATCACCCCGCCCCATTCTCCCGCTTTCCATCACCCCGCCCCATTCTCCCGCTTTCCCTCACCCCACCCCATTCTCCCGCTTTCCATCACCCTGCCCCATTCTCCCGCTTTCCATCACCCCGACCCATTCTCCCTCTTTTCATCACCCCGCCCCATTCTCCCTCTTTCCATCACCCCGCCCTATTCTCCCTCTTTCCATCACCCCGCCCCATTCTCCCGCTTTCCAACACCCCGCCCCATTCTCCCGCTCCATCACCCCGCCCCATTCTCCCGCTTTCCATCACCCCGCCCCATTCTCCCGCTTTCCATCACCCCGCCCCATTCTCCCGCTTTCCATCACCCCACCCCATTCTCCAGCTTTCCATCACCCCGCTCCATTCTCCCGCTTTCCATCACCCCGCCCAATTCTCCCTCCTTCCATCACCCCTCCCCATTCTCCCTCTTTCCATCAACCTGCCCCATTCTCCCTCTTTCCATCACCCCGCCCCATTCTCCCTCTTTCCATCACCCCGCCCCATTCTCCCTCTTTCCATCACCCTGCCACATTCTCCCTCTTTCCATCACCCTGCCCTATTCTCCCTGTTTCCATCACCCCGCCCCATTCTCCCTGTTTCCATCACCCCTACCCATTCTCCCGCTTTCCATCACCCCGCCCCATTCTCCCTGTTTCCATCACCCCGCCCCAGTTCTCCCGCTTTCCATCACCCCACCCCATTCTCCCCCTTTCCATCACCCCGCCCCATTCTCCCGCTCTCAATCACCCCGCCCCATTCTCCCGTTTTCCATCACCCCTCCCCATTCTCCCTCTTTCCATCACCCTGCCCCATTCTCCCGCTTTCTATCACCCCGCCCCATTCTCCCGCTTTCCATCATCCCGCTCCATTCTCCCCCTTTCCATCACCCCGCCCAATTCTCCCTCTTTCCATCACCCCTCCCCATTCTCCCTCTTTCCATCACCCCGCCCCATTTTCCCCCTTTCCATCACCCCGCCCCATTCTCCCGCTTTCCATCACCCCGCCCCATTCTCCCTCATTCCATCACCCCGCCCCATTCTCCCGCTTTCCATCACCCCGCCCCATTCTCCCTCTTTCCACCACCCCGCCCCTTTCTCCCTGTTTCCATCACCCCGCCCCATTCTCCCGTTTTCCATCACCCCACCCCATTCTCCCTCTTTCCATCACCCCGCCCCATTCTCCCTCTTTCCATCACCCCGCCCCATTCTCCCTCTTTCCATCACCCTGCCCCATTCTCTCGCTTTCCATCACCCCGCCCCATTCTCCCTCTTTCCATCACCCCGCCCCATTCTCCCTCTTTCCATCACCCCGCCCCATTCTCCCGCTTTCCATTTCCGCGCCCTACTCTCCATCTTTCCATCACCTCGCCCCATTCTCCCGCCTTCCATCACCCAGCCCCATTCTCCCTCTTTACATCACCCCGCCCCATTCTCCCGCTTTCTATCACCCCGCCCCATTCTCCCGCTTTCCATCACCCTGCCCCATTCTCCCTATTTCCATCACCCCGCCCAATTCTCCCTCTTTCCATCACCCCTCCCCATTCTACCTCTTTCCATCACCCCGCCCCCCACTCTCCCTCTTTCCATCACCCCGCCCCATCCTCCCGCTTTCCATCACCCCGCCCCATTCTCCCTCTTTCCATCACCCCGCCCCATTCTCCCGCTTCCATTACCCCGCCCCATTTTCCCTCTTTCCATCACCTCGCCCCATTCTCCTGCTTTCCATCACCCCGCCCCATTCTCCAGCTTTCCATCACCCCGCTCCATTCTCCCGCTTTCAATCACCCAGCCCAATTCTCCCTCTTTCCATCAACCCCCCCCCATTCGCCTGCTTTCCATCACCCCGCCCCATTCTCCCGCTTTCCATCACCCCGCCCCATTCTCCCTCTTTCCATCACCCCGCCCCTTTCTCCCTCTTTCCATCACCCCGCCCCATTCTCCCGCTTTCCATCACCCCGCCCCATTCTCCCTCTTTCCATCACCCCGCCCCATTCTCCCGCTTTCCATGACCCCGCCCCATTCTCCCTCTTTCCATCACCCCGCCCTATTCTCCCTCTTTCCATCACCCCGCCCCATTCTCCCTCTTTCCATCACCCCGCCCCATTCTCCCTCTTTCCATCACCCCGCCCCATTCTCCCGCTTTCCATTACCGCGCCCCACTCTCCATCTTTCCATCACCCCGCCCCATTCTCCCGCCTTCCATCACCCAGCCCCATTCTCCCTCTTTACATCACCCCGTCCCATTCTCCCACTTTCTATCACCCCGCCCCATTCTCCCGCTTTCCATCACCCCGCCCCATTCTCCCTCTTTCCATCACCCCGCCCCATTCTCCCGCTTTCCATCACCCCGCCCCATTTTCTCTCTTTCCATCACCCTGCCCCATTCTCCTGCTTTCCATCTGTTGTGTGATGCAACCATATGCATTCACGTCTGTCTGCCTCCCATCATGTGTTTGTGCGTTGCATGTGTGGTGTGAGCGTGTGCAAGAAATTTGTGTCTTGTGTGGTTTGGATTTTCTGAGTGTGTGTGAATGTTATTTGGCTTGAGCAGATATCTTAAGTGACTCCTCTGCTCAAGAGCTTTCCGACGAACCAAGTATCGCTTCAATCGGAGCACGAACAAGAAAGTTACGAACGTTGGAGTTCGTATGCTTTTGATATTTGGTTGTGGTGACTATGGGGAGTTGTGGGGTTGACTCAATATGGGGTACAGACTTTTGGGGGTTGGGAAATTCGTCTTTTCTACTGTAGTTGCTGCCAAGTGGTTGGGTGAAACCAAACCAGGTTGGCAAGTGTGGCCAAGTTGGGTTAAGGTGGATGGCATGGGTTGGGAAAGTGACAAAAGTGAAAGTGGGGTTGCCTATGGAGAGGGGAATTGTGTGGCATGGGGTTTCCTTGGTTGGGGACTCTCTTGGGACCTTCCTTCTTGTCCTCCTTATCCCATCCCACCTGTTTTAGTGCTACTCCAACTCTCTTGTGTAGTGAATTGTGAGCTTGTGAGACAATTGTGATTGAGTTAATATTCTATGGCAGCATACCCCCTAGTGCGCCGAAATTCATAACTCATAAAAATACTTCACCTTATCGTACGATTCAAATTGGGAATTGTAGCCACGGACTAGAGCTACAACATATCTAAGTTTGGTGAAGTTTTAACAGTGCACCTTTCGTCGACGGCGTTTCTTGTGAAGTCGACGTTTTCTGTCCAGAATTCTAAGCCAACGATTTTGAGAATTTTTGGCACCTAATCTTCGTAGACTCCGTCCTTAGTCTCTAACAAGTGGTATCAGAGCTGATTAAGGACTTTGTGGAGAGTCTACTGAAGTGTGAAGACCCTCCTAGACCCACCATGGCCTGTGGGCGTGCCTAAGTGGAGTTCTGGAGGTTGGATGTGACTTCCGCTAAGGGGAAACTCTGCCGAAATTTCGTTGGCGCCGTCACTTGTGAAGATTGTGTGGATCTACGTTGTGACCAGCAAAGGGGGGGAGCTGAAACCTCTGATTGGGAGCAGAGGAGATGAATCAAGGGAGTGGAGATGCAGCTGAGAAGAGGAGTGAACCGCCACCATCCAAGATCGAAGCTTTGGATGGCTCCAACTACGAGGAATGGAGCGGGCGGATGCGGAGCGCCTTCAAGCGCTACAAGCTGCTGAAAATTGCAATGGGAGAGGAGAAGATGCCGGGGGAAGGAGACGCCCGCGATCGGTGGATTGAGAAGAGCGCGGTGCTGTACGACTTGATTCTACAGTCGGTCAACAACGACATGTTCCAGCATATCAAGGATTTGGTGGAGCTCGATGACTCGGGACATAAGACGTGGAAGCTGCTACGCGACGTGGTTCAACCCAACACGCTGCCGATGGTGATCGTATTGGAGAAGGAGTTGGCTGCCCTCTCCATGCGGCCGGGAGATGATGTGAAGCCGGTCCTTGACAAGATCAAGGACACCTATGCGAGGATGGCAGCGGCGGGCAGCGAAGTGTCGCAGATGCAACAGTGCACTAAGATCATCTCGGTGCTCGACAACTCGTGGGACAACCTCATCCCCACCCTCAACGTTCAGCAGGACAAATGGACGCCTGAGTGGCTACGGCAGCAGATCCTGCAGGAGGACTTCCGCAGGCGCCACACTGGAGGTGGTGCTGCCAACAAAACTGCTGAGGGGTATGGAGCTGCAGGAGGCAGCAGAGGGAGAGGGGGAGGGAGAGGCCGAGGCCGTGGGAGAGGCTTTGGCAGAGGGAGAGGCCGAGGTGACTACAATGAGGGGCATGGGAGCTCTGGTGGCAGGGGGAGTACCCGAATGGAGGGTGCGTGCTGGTACTGCAAGAAGGCTGGACACCCATGGTTCAAGTGTTTCAGCCGGCCTGAAGGATGGGCGCCTCCAGGCATGAAGCCGCCAAGTGGTGAACGTGCACGAGGTGGTGCTGTGCAAGGTTCAGGTGCACAAGGTGATGGTGCACAAGGTAAAGCCGACCCTGGTATGTTCCTCATGGTTGAGGACGTGCAAGGGAGTGGGGGTGATGTGTGTTCAGTTGGGAAGGTTGTGATGCACCCCCTCACTCACTGGGTGATCGATTCAGGTTGCACGAGTCACATGACTCGACGGGCAGATTTGCTTGATGAGGTGAAGCCCCCTGGGAAGATAAAGTTTGTGGCTGCCGCTTCAGGTGCCTTGCTCCCTGTGATTGGTGTTGGGAATGCCAAGGTTATGGGAGCTAATGGGGGGCTTGTGGGGCTGGGAAATGTGCTGTTGGTTGAAGGTTTATCCACTAACCTCCTCTCTGTGCGCCGGCTGCAGAAAAGCAAGGCCAAAGTTACGTTCGGCCCAACCAGCTGCCGTGCAAAGCTTGGGAAGTTGCTGCTGTGGAATTTGGAGGAGAAGAGCAGCTGCATCAAGGACTTGTGGCAGCTGCCCATCATCCCTTGGAAGGGGAAACCACCAGCAACGGCAAAGGCAGCGGCAGCGGCTAAAGCAACTGCGGAAGGAGAGGAGACTGCACCAACTGCAGGGGCCCTAGATGCAGTCAAGAAGGTGCAGCAGTCACAGCAACCACATGGTGAGGTGCTTGCTGGTGTGGATGCGACAGCTGCATGGGCAAAGGCTTCATCTGGGAGTGGTGAGGCTGATTGGGAGAGGTGGCATGAGAGGCTGTGCCATGTGAACATTCCTATGCTGCAGAAGTTGGTAAAGGATGGGTGCTTGAAGGGGCTGGAGGTGAAGGGGGGAGTAAAGGAGATTGGGAGCTGCCCTACCTGCCTTGAGACCAAATTCACGAAGTTTCCCTTCAGCAGCAGCACAGGACCAGCAAAGGCACCACTTGCACTAGTGCACATGGATGTGGTGGGCCCCACAAGGGCCCTTTCTCTCTCGGGCAGCCGCTACTTCTTGACAATTGTGGACGACCACACGCGTGCGGTGTGGGTGTACCCTCTCAAGACTAAGGGGGAGGTGGCAGCGGCTGTTCTTAAGGAGTGGATGCCGAGAGCACAAAGGGAGAGCGGACATAAGGTGAAGGTGATCCGCACTGACAATGGAGGAGAATTCATTGGCGCTGATTTTGAGGCGGTGCTGAAGAAGAAGGGGATCCAGCATCAGCTCATAGTGCCTTACAACCCTCAGCAGAATGGCGTGGCTGAGCGGTTCAACCGGACCCTGCAGGAAGGTGCTCGCACTCTCCTTGGGCGTGCAGGGCTGCCGGATCCGTTTTGGGTGACAGCACTGCGGCAGGTCGTTGTTGTGAAGAACCGGGTGCTGGCGACTGTGGGGGACAAGCAATGGGTCCCCTACACCAAGTGGTATGGTAGTGTGCCTGCAGTCAACATGCTGAGAACTTATGGCTGTATGGTGGTGTTTCATGTGCTTAAGGAGAAGAGGGGAAAACTGGAAGCTTCTGGGAGATGGGGTGTGCACTTGGGGCTTGCAAAGGATCACAAGGGCTGGCTGATTTGGGACTTGACCAGCCAGCAGCTGACTGTGTCGAGGGATGTGAAGTTCCTTGAGTCCTTGTACTACAAGGAGTGGAAGCAGCAGCAGCAGAAGCTTCCCACTACACCGCTGATCATTGAGGCTGATGAGGTGCAGCGGCCTTCGAGGCAAGTGCAGGTCACTGTCTCAGAGGAGGAGATTTCTGGGGTGACTGAGGATGGGGGAGAACCTGAGGTGGAGGAGCAGCAGCAGCAGCAGCAACAGCAGCAGCCGTAGCAGCAGCAGCAGCAGCAAGGTGCTCCACAAGGTGCCGCGCGTCCGGCTGACCGTCCCCGGAGGGAAGTGCGCCCTCCTAACCGGCTGACCTATCCGAGCTTTGGCAAGCCAAAGGTGGTACGGGCTGGGAGTGTGGCTGAGCAGTGTGATGAGGATGAGATAGCACACTGCTACTGGGCAGCCGTCCCTGAGCCCAAGACGTTAGCCGAGGCATTGAGCGGGCCCGACGCTGAGAAGTGGAAGCAGAGTGTGAAGGAGGAGTATGACTCTCTGCTGGAGAATGAGACGTGGGAGCTGTGTGAGCTGCCACCTGGGAAGAAGGCCATTTCTTCCAAGCTGATCTTCAGGCATAAGTACGGACCCGATGGGGAGCTGACCCGCTACAAGTCAAGGCTTTTGGCTAAGGGGTTCCAACAGACAAAGGGGAAGGATTTTGATGATATCTTTGCTCCTGTAGGGAAAGGCACTACACTGAGGACGATGTTGGCAATGGCTGCAAACCGTGGCTGGAAGATCAAGCAGATGGACATAATCACTGCATTCCTCAATGGAATCATTCTGGAGGAGCTGTACATGCTGCAGCCTGAGGGGTTGGATGATGGGAGCGGCAGGGTGTGCAGGCTCAAGAAGGCCATCTATGGCCTGAAGCAGGCTCCTCGCGCATGGTACCACAAGCTGGAGGAGACACTGCTGGTCGGGGGGTTCAAGAAGAGCGAGTGTGATCACAGCTTGTTCCTGCTGCAAGAGAAGGAGCACTTCCTCATGCTCCTGGTGTACGTGGACGACATCCTGCTCTTCTCTGAGTCGTCTGCAATGATTGAACGTGTGGAGGAGATGCTGGAAATGCAGTTCAAGTGCTCCAAGATGGGAGATGTGAAGTACTACCTTGGGATGCATGTGGAGAGGGACCTTGACAAGGGAGTGTTGAGGTTGCACCAGAGAAAGTATTGTGAGGGGCTGGCTGAGAAGTATGGGCTGCAAGATGGAGGAAAGCCAGCCACCCCACTGCCTTCGGGGTTCACTGTGGAGCCCTGTGCTGATGAGGAGGTGGTGGGTGAGAGTGACAGGAAACTTTTTCATTCCATGGTTGGGGCACTCAACTATGCGGCTAACCACACACGGCCTGACATTGCCTTTGCAACATCTAGGCTTGCCAGTGTGGTTTCACGCCCCAGTCATGAGCAGCTGGAAGCGGCCAAGAGG